GGTGTGGACAGTCTCTCTCTCCTTTCTCTGCCTTATGTGTGGTGTGGTGTGGTATGGTGTGGACAGTCTCTCCCCCGTCCCTCTCTCTGCCCCATGTGTGGTGTGGACAGTCTCTCTCCTCTCTGCCTCCGTGTGTGGTGTGGTGTGGTGTGGTGTGGTGTGGTGTGGTGTGGTGTGGACAGTCTCTCCCCCAACCCTCTCTCTGCCCCCGTCCGTGTATGGTGTGGTGTGGACAGTCTCTCCCTGCTCCTCTCTGCCCCATGTGTGTGTGGTGTGGTGTGATAAAGTTAATGCTTACAAATTTGGGGTTACTGATATTTGAGCACTTAGAACTATGCAGCACTTATTGGGTTTTATTTGAGGAGGAAAAACTGGAAATTGAGGCTAGGACTCTTGTTTTCTATTTTTTCCTTAGTTACGTGTAAAATCTCCAACAATCCCTTTGAATAGCAGGCTGTTGTTCGAGTTATGTGGGAAGACTGAGACTTTGTGCAGTCATTAAATGGACTTCAGTGGTTCCGAACTTATTGTTTTTAACTCATCTTGCGGATTCTGTGCTCATTGCATTGCCTAGGCTGTGTCGGAAAGCACAGCCCAGCTTAGAAGCTACATCAGAGCTGTCCATCCACTGAGTCACTAATGCCTGCAGATTGGGGTGAATCCATCAAGACTCCAAGCTGCAATCCTCAATACCTGTACTATGCCCTGATGTTTCTCGGGACACTTTTGGGGACTTGTTTTGATGTAGGAAGTGGGCTGAGACTGCCTACCTAACCTCACTGGGTCCTTAAGCAGCGGTCAGACAGGCTGTGACGGTCAAGATTTTCAAAGAATTTTAAGCTTCACCTGAACTCAGCCTGGAGTTATGTATACAAATCAACAGGAAACCATCAGCTGTCGTGTAAATACCTGTGATGTGGCAGTCGAAGACAACAGAGGAGAGGAGCCCTTGGCAGCACACAACACAGCTCTCTTCTGCCAGATGGGAAGCAAATGCCTGTGTTGGGGGTTCTGGCTACACATTTGCAGCGTGATTGCATGGAGCCGATTACCCACTCGGGCAGGGCAATAACAGTTTGGGTTTTGCGAAAGAGCCTGATTCTGTAGACTTCCTTGAGTCACACTGAGCACAATATCATTTGTAATATATGTAAATTATCCTAGTTGTTTATTTTTCATATTTCGAAGTTTTGAAAATTAATTTGATAGTAATGATCTCTGGATCTTTTTTTTTAATTGGTTTTTCGAGACACGGTTTCTCTGTGGTTTTGGAGCCTGTCCTGGCACTAGCTCTTGTAGACCAGCCTGGCCTCGAACTCACAGAGATCCGCCTGTCTCTGCCTCCGAGTGCTGGGATTAAAGGCGTGCGCCACCACCGCCTGGCTGATCTCTGGATCTTAATGACTAGATGCCGATTGTACTGTCTCCAAGCCACTCTGAAAAAAAAATTGATCATTTGCCTTTATTCATCTGCATCACTGGTTATATTTGTCTTTCCAAGTGAGCTAAGTCAGCTCTGTGAAAAAAGGTAGATGCTATACCATAGGGCTTATGGAAACATTACAGAGCTAGGCACAGTGATGCGATCTGGAGTTCCAGTACCTGATAAACTGAGGCAGGAAAGGTGACGGTACAAACACAAGGATACGACAGCCAGATGATTAACTTATCTATTATCCAACTAAAAATAGTTCTTGAACAACTACTATGTTGTTTGCAATATTCAGAACATAATCTGTCACACTGGCCTTCCAGAAGTGAGCTGAGATGAGATAGGATGCCATTGTGGAATATTATTTTAAGATGTTTATGCTGTGGAACATTTATTTTAATGATGCAAAGATGTGTTGCATTCTTCTTTGTTGCATTTGTTTAACTCTGGGAAGCTGTGTTACTTTGCCTGTCTGAAATACCTTACTGGTCTAATAAAAGCTGAATGGCCAATAATGAGGCAGGAGGAAGGATAGGCGGGGCTGGCAGGCAGAGAGAATAAATAGAAGGAGAAATTTGGGAAGGGAAGAATGAATGAGAAAAGAAGGGGGAGGACATTAGGGCCCAGCTACTCAGCTACACAGCAGCCACGGAGTAAAATGTAATGAAAGGTGTACAGAAATAGAAAAAAGTAAAAGCCCAGAGGCAAAGATAGAAGGCATAATTTAAATTAAGGAAAGCTAGCTAGAAAAAAGTCAAGCTATGGCCGGGCAGTGGTGGCGCACGCCTTTAATCCCAGCACTCGGGAGGCAGAGGCAGGAAGATTTCTGTGAGTTCGAGGCCAGCCTGGTCTACAAGAGTTAGTTCTAGGACAGTCTTTAAAACTATAGCAAAACCCTGCCTCGAAAAACAAAAACAAAACAAAGAAACAAAAAAAAAAATGTCAAGCTAAAGCCAGGCATTCATAAGTAAGAAAAAGTATCTCTGTGTGTGTATTTATTTGGGAGCTGGGTGACAGCCCCCCTCCCCGCAAACAAGTAAAGAGTAATAAAACAACCAACAACAGGGTACAGTTTGTTTCTGTGCTGAGTATTGAGTACAGGATTGTATTCGCTAAGCAACCACCTAGACCCTACAATGACACATTTTAATTATAACTAGCTTCAGCATTGAGCTTTTTTCTTGTTGTATTCAATATGACTTTTGATGACCAACTTTAGCAGAAATAAAAAAAATGAAAAAAGACTTTTATTTAAATATAAGTTTTTGTAAGATAATTCTATTCTTTATTTGTGGCATAAAGTCATTTTAAAACAATCTCATGAGGGTTCACTGACTTCTCTTGATGAAATCTAATCTCCATCATAAGTAATTTGATTTGAATGCCCTATCATCCATCACCACAACTGTCACCTAGACATATAAATATGGAAAATATTTATATTGTAAATGCTTTAAACAAGAAAAAGCTAAAAGTCTTCATGAAGGCTTATCTGCTAGCTCCTCCTTAAGTTCCACGGGGTTAGTGTGCATATTGATGGAGTCTCAGTGCGTTTGCCCCTCTTTCTGTTCAGATCTTAACTTTACTGTACACCCTGGACAAGGGATTTAGAACAAATACTTATGAGCAGTGTGAATATGTGGAGAGTATAATAAGGGCAGATTGTGAGACTGGGTCACTTGCATGTCCCCGAGGTGATAGACCTTCTCAGCACAATGTACTGTCTGGCTGGGGCCCTTCTGGGAGTCACTACTTTTTAACAAAGTCCTACTTTTTAACAAAGATGTAGAATATGGCATTAAATTAGGAAGAGTTCTGGGATTTTCAGATGTCTTTGGTTATTCATTGGTTCTTGATAACTGGAAATTTGTGTTTGAGTTATTGGCTGAAGTCACACAAGGTTTTTAGAAGACTTGAGAGAAAATACCTGGGAATTCCTGCACAGTATCTCAGGTTATGCAATTCTGCGGCGTTATAGTCTTAATTTTGTTTTGTATCAACAAGTCACACAAAAGGATTTTGTATCGTCATCATCAAAAGTTTGCTGAGAAAAGTTCCAAAGTACTTGATAATTTTGTTTCATCCAGTTCTATTTTGAGACATTCAAACTATATTAGAAGAAGCAGCACATGAGTTAGAAATTGCGCAGAATTTCCTTCCTATGTAACTATAGTCCTCTGAGACTTACCTGGAAACACCTCCCAGGAGTTTCCTATTTTCGATTTCTACAGAGTGCACACACATGTGCATGTTATTGTGGGAAAACATTTATTTAAAACATGAAATTGTAGTTTGTTTGTTTGTTTGTTAAGGCAGAGACTCATGCTGTAACCCAAGCTGGCCAGGAAGTTACTATGTAACCTTACAATCCTCAAACTCCCTGTTGGCCCTCAGAAAGCTGCATTTACTATCCTCAAATCACATATTGACCAAAGGAAATAATTTTTTTTTGTCAAATACGAAATAACTTTTCCATTAATATATATATATATATATATTGGGGCTGGAGATATGGCTCAGATGGCAAGAGCACTGGCTGTTCTTCCAGAGGATCTAGGATAGTTCCATAGCATCTACACAACAGTTCACAACCATCTACAACTCCAGTCCAGGGAATATGACACCTGCTTCTGGCTTCCAAGGGCAGCAGGCATGCAAGTGGTGGATAAATATAAATGCAGGCTAAACACTCACACACACAAAATAAAATAAAAATATTTTTTAAGCCGGGTGATGGTGGCATACACCTTTAATCCCAGCATTCAGGAGGCAGAGGTAGGTGGATCTCTGTGAGTTCGAGGCCAGCCTGGTCTACAAGAGCTAGTTCCAGGACAGGCTCCAAAGCTACAGAAAAACCCTGTCTTGAGAAAAAAATTAAAGTGTCCATATTTGACAATGTAATTTATATTTATTAATTATGTTTAATTATGGAATATATTTTTAATCTTAATATGTATGAATGGTTCTTACAAAAAAACACAAAGAAATAAAAGAAATATTTTAGGTAACCCACAAAATCAGGAAATAGGACTCAGAGCAAATCAATCAAGAGTTGATTTTATACATCAGAATTAAAATTTGAGCCATTAAAGATATTCATAGTTAGTTTTATGCCACAGGCCACCAGTGTGAATCAATTAGCAGAGACAGTTTTTATCTTATAGTTGGGCAAAACAAAAATTAGAAGAAATAGAAGGGTTCTTCATGCCTCGTTATCCAGTTCATGTCTGCAATGCCTGACTGAGACAGGCAGGCAGCAGAAGCGCTAAGAAGGAAATTTCATGATGTTGAGCAGCCTGCAATGCACGTTCATTTACCTTCTGTGTACTGCAGATTCCTTGACACCAAACACTTCATGAATGGGCTGCTCCTGACTGAGTTTCTGGTCCCCGACTTTAATCAATTAAAGGCTGAGCACTTTCCTAATCCTCAGCTCTCGATGAAACTTCTGCGCTCAGAGCATGTGTCTCAAATGTTAATAAAGTTTTCATTTCCAAAGGGTTCAAAATGACAGAACAAATTTTTTTTTCTCTAAGAGCACGACAACAACCTGTGTTTCTGTCTGCAGGTAGTGGAGGACATGCTAGAGGACGAAGAGGAGGAAGACGACAAAGATGACAAGGTAATTATCTTCCCAGCGCTCGGTACTGGGTGTGGGAGATGCAGACATGACACTGTTTTCACAGACAGTTGAAAAAGGAGTTGAAGGGTTTGAGTCCAGAAAATTGGACAGTGCTATTTATCATCCGAACAATGCCGCTGCGTGTTGCAAAGAGGAAGAAATGGCTATAAATCCTCTCTGCTTTTGTCCAGAGCTGGGTCAAATATTTTTCTGCCAGAAAAAAAAAAATCAGCTTGTCTGGAACTCGATAGCTATTGTGAAGATAATAGCACTGACAACTGTTTCTGAAGGGCAAAAAATTGTCCTATCTTGAGTGTTACAAATCAGTCTCTGCTTTGGGGGAAGGAGGCAGGCATGAAAAAATAGGATCCTGCATGAATTGGACACGGATAATGTCATCTATAATTTTCAAAGAATTGCTCAGCAAAAGAACGTGTGTATGACATGCTTGGGAGGACATTTAAATGACTCTGTGCTCACTGCCCTTGCCTAGACTTATAATGTCCCCATGCCTCCTCCATCACGAAAGACCTTTGGAGAGACTGACTTGCAATTCTTTTGCTAGTTGGTTTGTCGATGGTGACCACGGTAAACAGCAGTGAATTTCTGGCTCGTTGGCATTGGTGTTTCTTGGGGAGAGGGAGAGATTAATAGGACCTTGTACCACCACAGAGGTGGCTGGGATTAGGACAACAGCTCTCTCCAGCAAGCAGAATAGAAACTCTCTGGCACTGTGATCTCTGATCAATTTTAGATATTGAGTTACCTTTTCTAAACATGAGACAAGGAGGAAAATATTAATTACATGCACATTATTTAGCATACAAAACCAGATTTTGATCTCCACCCAAAACTCGCCACCGTTAGAGGAAGCCATGGTGTTTTTGAAGGAAGGAAAACAGAGCACCTCAATTTATGTCCTTGACCTACCACTCCAGGAGAGATGCGCAGTTAAACCCCAGTACAGGAGTTTGTGTTGGAAGAGAGCGTTTGAAATGTCATAGGGGGAAAAGGTCACACTGAATACTTTACCTCACAATCTTCGTTTCCTGACTAATATTTGATGTTTTCAGTCGAATGCAAACACACATGCTTCTTGCCCGCTTTCCTCTCATGCTGCTCCAAATGCTTTTAATTGATAGAGCTTTTATGTGGAATTCCTCTCCTGTACCTCATACAGTCATTAGTATCCTGATGAAAATAACCTAACGAAATCTCTTATCTGCACACACACACACACACACACACACACACACATGCACGCACACACACACTTTTTGGTTAAATAATATGAGCATACACCTCTGGCAGTAAATGTCTGATTTATTGTTAAGGTCAGTTGTAGAGCTGTGGAGAGCCAGCTCTGAATCACCACTTCCCTGTGCTAAAGACTGAGCTGCTGTCCACTTATGGCTCTTCTTGCTTGTTGCTGCTTTAGTATTAAAGGCACCATAAAGACCCATCCCAGCAGCAGGCGTTTCCCTGGAAATGCTAATGTATAGGAACTCCAGTGAAGTCGACTACTTCCATGTCTCTCTGCAGCAAGTCAGCTCATACATTTTTAACCAGTTTCTTGGTATTGTTTGTGTCTCCCTTTCTTCTTCATTTTTTTTAAATAGAGAAGATCTTAGGTATAGGCAACAAATAGGCATCCGTGGTTAACCAACTGACCAAAACACAGATGTTGATTGAGCACATCTGGATGGCAATACCAACTCCCAGGAGCTGTATGTATACATAATGAGCTAGTGATTGGCTCTCTGAAATTGACACCCTACTTCTAACAGATTTTCAGATCAGTTTCCAAAGAAAGGGAGGGCTCCAGTCACTGTGTGAATTCAACTGGAGTTGTTTGTAGCTGAGAGAGGCAGTAGCGTGCTTTCCCAGTGGGCTGCTCTTCATCAGCCAGTCCTTTGTCTGAGTGATATAGAAGGGTGAGGTCCTTACATATCAGTGAAACTGATAGTAGGAAAATGGTGTCTGAGCCCAAAAGAAAGTCTGAAGTGTAGCAAGAGACTTTGAAGCTCTCTTAGTGGAAAAGTGAAAATAAGGAAGGATCCTACAGGCATCCACTCACTAGCTTCTCTGTTGGCTTGGCTCTCACAGAGCACACGTTGTAAGTCTTAGCTGTCCATGTGTCTGAATGGGAGAAGAGTTATTTCCAGTTTTAAATTTTTCATTGGTTGCTCCATTTAAAGTTTGTATGCATAATGGAATTTCATGAAAACATACATGTGTTTTTTTCCACACAAACAGGTACTGACCTCCAGCTCTCATTGTCTCTGTTTTCTCATATGGTATAGTAGTGGGGTCAGGTCAATGGGTCCTCTTATAGGATAAAAGTAAAGAAGATTAATAAATGTGCCAAAGCCTCACTTTAATTGAACCTGAAGCATATGTTGCAAGTATGTAAAATATGTCCCAGATGTTCCACCGGGACCACTGTCTTGCGTTCGCTGCTTGCCGCAAGGCAGCTATTAGTCCTGTAACCTTTGGACTTGGGGTAAATGGGGTATTACGTGGCACAGAATGTGAGCACTTGTTTCCCATTCAGTAGAGACCCCTGGCAGGCTGCGCCTAAGCCTGTGCACATGTTTTCACTTAGCGGATTGTTGGGTGATTATGAAAAGTGTCTTTCTTTAGAACAACATTGATATTAGTCACTCACAATGAAAGGACAAGTCATTGGCTACTTGACAGGGTCCTGTGGGCACAAGCTGAAGTCCCTCATTTCATCTGAGCATGTAGTATTTTCCCTCTGCATAATTACACACAAAGAAAAGATAGAGGTCTGAGAGGCTGAAGCCCATAAAGATATGCTTAGTAATAGCTTTTCCTTAGCGTTAGCTCTAGTGCGGAAAGACACTGGGTAACGCTGGGTCACCTGGATCACCAGATTCTGAAGCTTTGAAAATTCTTGTTCATTGTCCTTGCTTTTTATGAAAAAGTTTATCCTGATTCTGCTCACAGTTGTGGTCATATACATACCCTACTTTCTAAAACCTTTTTTTTTCACATTTGCTTAAGTCTAATTTTAAGATTTAATCCAACTCCATCATTTCCCAAAGGCAGAAAATACGGGTTTTAAATGGTGAGGTTTGCATGTGAATCTTTGCCTTCCAATATTTTCACTCACTTGCATAGTGTAAGAACACCATTAAGCTCTTCTGGGGACAGCATTATTTTCTGAATTTACCATGAGACATCCTAGAGTTACGTTTTTTGTAGAGCAATCTCAACACCCTCAACCACAAAGCTCCAAGCTGATGTTTTTTGACCCCACATCAATTCCTTTCTCTTTTAGACAATAAGCAAAAGAGGTTTAACTAAATATCCTAGGTGGATATTTAGCATATAGTAGTGTTCGCACCACATTGCACAACCATACAGTGGCCAACCTGCATAACCTAGACAATCAATTCACAAATGGCAATCCTCTTTTGTAGTCTGAAGTTTCGGCATGCTTCTCACGGTACACCCTGCTCTGGTAATGAGATCCAGCTGCGGGATCAGGAAGCAGAAGACAGGATGCTGGGTTCCAACAGGAAAAATGCGAATTCAAATGCATTACATTCTAGTAGTGTTTATTGATAAGAGATATGAACGCATTTGGGCATTTATGTTCACACAGCTTTTCCTTTTCCTTTGGCTGTTATGTCAAGGTTACTTGTTTCCAGACAGCTAGATGCAATGAATGGAACATATTTGAGTTACTTCAAAATATACAGAGTGTTTTCCTTAATTCTTGAAATCTGTATTTTTTTTATTTGATTCTCCAGCTCAAACATATGTCTACCTTAGCCAAGATCCACATACATCTCTGCATCTCAAACAGCAGTAAGGGAGGAAAGAAAGATAATTCTAAGTGATAAGAGGAAATATTTTAATCTGACAAAATTGCATTTTCTGGTTCCATTCAGTGAAAGGACTTCATGGTGGGGATGCCAAGTGAAGCTGTAGAGGAAGGCTGAGTGAACTTCTCTTTTAAAAATCCCGCCACGCTCACCTGGGATGCCATTGCGTTCCTCTGTTCGCTTTCTGTGTTTGTAGAATAAAGTACCGCAAACTGCAAGGCAGAAAACAAGTGGGCAGTGCTTGTTCTCTGTTCAATAGTCCCAAATACAGGCATAGCCAACTGGTTCTCTGCTCACTTCCTGTCTCTCTACGCTATCATCTGCAGGATTTAGAAAGGAATCCACTTCAAAGGATGATTTAGCATGTTGGTAGAACCTAGTTTCTTGTACTGGAGAAACTGAAATTTTTGTTTTCTTGTTTCTTCTTTCTGCTCCTAGTGACCTAGTTGTCTTTAAAGGCATCAGTGGAGATTCTCCCTTGAGTCCCCCCAGTTCAGCCCTATCTAAGGGCTCACATGATTACATCAGCCACCAAAGATAATTTCCCCTTATTAAAGAAAACTCTCATGAAATATGACTTAATCATGATAATAACTATCCCATCATACTCATAAGCCGGAGTGTGGAGTGGGGATTAAACTTGATGTATAGAATAGAAGGAGAGAACTATGGTTTTAATCCGAATCTGGCAGCCAGGTAGACCTGTCCACTAGCTGTAGTGGAAGTGGAACAATCTTCGTGTTCTTTGACCAGGTCCACTGCTAGATACGGTGTCTGCTGTCATGCAATAGTCAATAAGGGAAACAATCACCTGCTAGTTATCATATTCAGTTTGAAGTCGGGGTGATTGGTCAGGCCAAAGGCTTCTCATGGGCCACTTTTTTTCCCCTTCTATTCTTCTGGTGAAAAGCAAAAATAAAAATACCAAAATGTAGGGAAGGCTCCTGTGGACTTTAGGGGGACTTTGGGCCTATAACCCCACTGGGCTGTCATCTAGAACCATAGTGACATTAAAGTTTGAGGGTAGCTAAGAAATAATCCATTAAAATGCTTTGTTTTACAGTCATAACACTGTTTTACAGCTATAACACACATGGTACAGTGCTTACCTAGTATGCAAAAGGCCCCGGTCATGAACCTCAGTAT